AATAACCCCAGCTCCCTCAGCCTCTCCTCATGAGACTTATTCTCCAGACCCCTCACCAGCTTTGTTGCCCTTCTCTGGACCCGCTCCAGCACCTCAATGTCTTTTTTATGGTAGGGGGCCCAAAACTGGACACAGTACTCGAGGTGAGGCCTCACCAGTGCCACATGTCACCTCACAGCAAAGGTGACAACTCATGACCCTGACCTGCCTCTGCAAGATGCCAGATTTCATTGTTTGATGACTCCTTGCAAGTTATCACCAATATTCATCCAGGCTTTCTTATACGCTCAAGAGAGGCTGTGGCATCTCCATCCTTGGAAATACCAAAGCCCAACTGGAATCATAGAATTGTCCAGGTTGGAAGGGACCTTTCAGATCATCTAGTCCAACCATTCATAGAATCACAGAATGGTTAGAGTTGGAAGGGACCTAAAAGATCATCGAGTTCCAACCCCCTGCCCTGGGCAGGGACACCTCCCACCAGACCAGGTTGCTCCAAGCCCCATCCAGCCTGGCCTTGAACCCCTCCAGGGATGGGGCAGCCACAGCTTCTCTGGGCAACCTGTTCCAGGCTCTCACCACCCTCATAGTAAAAAATTTCTCCCTGAGATCTAATCTGAATCTTTTTTCTTCCAATTTAAAACCGTTTCCCCTTGTCCTATCATTACCCTTCCTGGCAAAGAGTCCCTCCCCAGCTCTTCTATAGGCACCCTTCAGGTACTGAAAGGCCGCTATAAGGTCTCCCCGGAGCCTTCTCTTCTCCAGGCTGAACAATCCCAGCTCCCTCAGCCTGTCCTCACAGCAGAGGTGCTCCATCCCTCTGATCATCTTTGTGGCCCTCTGCTGCACCTGTTCCAGCCGGTCCATGTCCTTTCTGTGCTGAGGACTCCAAAGCTGGACACAATATTCCAGGTGGGGTCTCACGAGTGCAGAGTAGAGGGGCAGAATCACCTCCCTCTAAAAACCATCACTAAACCATGTCTCTAAGCACTAGGTCATCCCATCTTTTAAATATCTCCAGGGATGGGGCCTCAACCCCTTCCCTGGGCAGCCCATTCCAAGGCTTCAGAACCCTTTCCCTGTCAACATTTTTCCAAATCTCCAATCTGAACCTACCCTGGGGCAGCTACGATTCTATGATTCTAGCGAAACGCATCTGTGCCTTGCCCTAGAAACACAGAGGAGTTACATCCAGCTCTCTGCCGGCGCCAGGAGAAGGGCTGCTTGGACGATTCCATGATTCTAGCGAAACCCATCTGTGCCTTGCCCTAGAAACACAGAGGAGTTACATCCAGCTCTCTGCCGGCGCCAGGAGAAGGGCTGCTTGGAAAGTCTGGCTGCAGACAGTGCCAAAAAAAAAGTGCAATTCACACCCTCGCCTCAAAAAGGGGAATAAGTGACGAATTCGGCTCCTGTCCCGCTGCCAGCTCTCAGCCCAGGCTGGGAAAGTTTTCTAAGTAACCCTTATGGTTTAAGGGAACGATGAGCTGTTATCTTTCTGGTAAAATGAAAGATGGACTAACAAATAATCTGTGCATTATTCTATGGGCCATTAAAATACAGGTTTATGATCCCTTTTAGAAGAAGAGGCTACTTAATTCAACGCAGGAAACCATTTGTCAAGCTATGGCTGTTCGGTGGTGTCCATTTTTTTTTTTCCCCCTGTTAAATGGTCTCTTAAAATTATAACAACAATTGCATTCGTTAGGTTAGCAGCAATTTGACACACAAACGATCCTCTTCCTCCCCCCACACGATGAGCAATTTCCACATTTGTTGGCTTTTAATAAGCAACCTTGTGAAAGCTTGACTTTCGGAAGAGTACACCCTATTTATTGCTTATTTGATTTGTGGGTGCAATACCCAGACTGGGAGTGCAGGCATATGGGAATGAGACAATTTAGGCACAGGATCACACAGATCCCTGCTGCAAAACCCAGCTTACACCTTCATCAGCACCACAGCAAAACGCTCTCTTCTGCCTCCAGCCAAAAGACTTCCAGCTCAATGCCTGCAGCTCCAGCACAAGCTCATTAATTGCACACCGTTAAACAGCAATCACACTCATTTAGCAACTGCACGTAGACCTAAATACTCCACAAATACATCTTCCACGAGCAGGCAATCACTAATTTACTGTAGACACTGAGTAAATGGGGTTTGTTAGGCTATCACCTCCTCGGGGGATGCTGCAGGAAGGGCTTTGCCCAGCATCAGCACATCCATATTTCATATATGGTATTTCCTACTCCTTTTTTACTTTTAAATGAAAGAAAAAACCTCCAAAACTTAACAGGTTCCTTTAACTTTAAGTCTTAAGATAACAGTGATCTAAACCAAAGAGTGCAGATGACTTCCTCCCAAAAAAATCAAAGACAAGGAGGGCTGCTGACACAGGCAAGGAGAGATGTGACACATTTCACTCCCTTTGTAACTCCACTGCCCAAAAAGCCATTAATGTCTTAATATTCCCACAACACCCCTGGCTGGAAGAACAGCATACTTCCAAAACATTTAATTTTGCAGCTGCCTAAGTGCATCTCCTTTAACTTTCTAGTAGAAAACAGTTTCCACATAGCCTAAAAAACTTTTAATGAGTTTGCTTTTTTTTTTTTAAAATATTCCCAGTCTGAGGGTTTTCAAAAAAAGACAACTATTTAAAAAAGACCTAGAAGAGAAAAGCACATGCTTGTGACAAATCCTGGCAGCAGAGAGTTGGATTTTTTTTTTTTGAAAATGTATGGTATTTTTTCATTTTTTTAGATCAGTGTGTTATACAGGAGAAGATACCTGATATGGATTAGCTCAGAACAAGGAAAAACACAATGAGATGAAGAAGGATATGGATTGGTCTGATCAATAAACCACGCTATTGCCAAGCTCCCCAGGAAACACCTGCTCTAAAGTTTATACAGCCAGCTCCTCCGGCCATGCACAGCCTCTGGACTGTGAGCAATCTCAAAAAAGCCTCCTTGGGACAGACTTTTATGGTCAGTCTGGGACCTCAGTGGGGTTCCAGTGCTCCCCCTCTATCCCTCCAGCACCTGGGAGCTCCAAAGGTGCTTGTCATTACCTGGATTTCAGATCAGCAACGCAGCATCTGGCCACGCAGCTCTTATTTCTAAGCAAAGTCTCTCATTTTTAAGCAAAGCTGCAACAAAACAAGGGTTGAAACGTTCCTACCACCAGCTCCACTGCTGGTTAGTGCCTCTGCCACGTCAGAGATCTCTACAGAAGATAGAGTTTGCAAGAATACTTCTTAAAATACCACTTATCTTTGCCAACAGGAATTCGTACTGCATAAAAGGAGAAAAAATACCCCTCACTCCAGAAGACAAGGATGAAGAAGAAACATTGGTGTGCCTCTGCTGTGGTCCCACAACCTGGGATACACTCACTAGGTCATCTTGCCCCTGAGCACACCAGGCCTGAACGGTCCTGCTGAAGATATCACTGTGGTATCACAACTTCCTAATCCCTCACTAAGAAATCACCGCTTCCTAATCTATTCAGGCTATATGTTTCAGCATCTTTTTCCCTCTATAATTAAAACTGTAGAAGGATAAAGAGGGATTTCAGATTTTATCCGTGGCCGTAGCAAGTTAAACCTCTCATTACAGGGAGGAACTGTGATTCTGGGGTATTTTTAACCTGTCAGCCAGGGCTCGTTCAACATCTTCCCCAACTCCAAAGACACGGCATGAGGTGAGCTCCCTCAAGCTTCCAGCTCTTATCTGTCCTTGCAACTTTAATACCTTTATCAAGCGAAGCTCCAGCCATGTGGTAGAAGCTCAAAGCAGTGTCCACGTCATTGATGTTCTTCAGAAAAGTGAAGAAGCTCTCCACCTCCTCAAACGTCAGACCCTAGGGCAGAGAAAAGATGGTCTTAATGGTGATGGGGAAAAAGGAAATCGTGACACTACCTGGATTATGAACAACAAAGTGACTCAAAGTGTCACCAGAGGGGAAACACACACTCAAAACCACACTCAAAACACTCCCACCTTGGCAACCCGTTAACCACCTCTGCTCCTCTCCCAGTCCCACAAGTTGGGTGGTGGAAAAGGACTTCCCCAGGTACTGTCAGTGGTGGCAAAGACCAAAAAGCATGTCTCTGCAGCCAGCTCTTGCCCGGAGGAGTGGACACCCCATGAGCCTGTGGCTGGGATGCAGGAAACTGCTGCAAGCAGGTTAATTTCTTTTAATTTTTTGTTTTTCAAGCCTGCACGCTTGCAGTGACAACAATGAAAGAGTTCAAGCGCTGGATGGTCTCTCCCAAGAGACTCAGGGATCCCTGGGGAGATCCGTGTCTCCCCCAGTGTCGCAGAAGGTGACACTGTGACCCACAGCACGGATAGATGCGCCTCCGTTAGCTTTGCTGCTGGTGGCAGGATGGCTGCTGGGCTGGATCACCATCTGCTCCACGTACCAGCAGAGCCTCCCGGGGCTTCCCTCGCTGTGGGACAGGCTCAGTGAGCACCTACAGCCACCCAGATAGATACTCAGAATCACAGAATCTTCTAGGTTGGAAGGGACCTTAAAGATCATCTTGTCCAACCGTCAACCTAACTGACAGAAATAGACACCCACACAACAAACAAGGAGCATCATCACTAAACCAGACCTCCCAGCACTACATCAACCCGTCTTTTGAACACCTCCAGGGATGGGGCCTCAACCCCCTCCCTGGGCAGCCCTTTCCAATGGCTGAGAACCCTTTCGGTGAAAAAATTTTTCCTAATATCCAGCCTGAACCTCCCCTGGGGCAACTTGAGGCCATTTCCTCTTGTCCTGTCGCCTGTGACTTGAGAAAAGAGACTGACCCCCACCTCTCTACACCCTCCTTTCAGGGAGTTGGAGACAGCAAGAAGGTCTCCCCTCAGCCTCCTTTTCTCCAGGCTGAACACCCCCAGCTCCCTCAGCCTCTCCTCATAAGACTTATTCTCCAGACCCCTCACCATCTTTGTCGCCCTTCTCTGGACCCGCTCCAGCACCTCTATGTCTTTTTTATGGTAGGGGACCCAAAACTGGACACAGTACTCATGGAAATGCATCCCAAAATCCCCCCACGCTGGCAGAGCTGCATCCCAGCACAGCTGAGGGCAGGCAGGGGATAAGTGACACATTCCCCTCCGCACCGATCCCACCGAGCCCAGCTCCAGGACCCCCACCTGGTCACCCCACACAACTCCACACCCCATTTTATCCACCCATTTAGCACCAGCATGATTGCATCAGTGCTGGGACCTGAGCTGCAGCCTCCAAGCTCTCCCAACAGCTCGGAGCAGACAGAGGAGGTAAATCATCCCCACAATAATAACCACTCAGCCTTCCTCTCTGGAAGAGATAAATCAGCTTGTCAAGAGGAGTTCAGGTTCAGGCTCCTCCTATGCTGTCTAGCTCGACAGACTGATATAGCCAGACACTAAAAATCCCAACTGCATAACACAGCAGAGTTTCATGGTCTGGATGGAAGAGCATACATTCAGTGGGTAATGTCAAACATAAATTTATATGATCCGTTGTAACCCTGCTTAACTCTTCCCAACAACTTCTCATCAGGGAAGAAGCCATCTATCATTTTTTTGGAAAGAAAAGGCACGTTTTTTACCATCTTCTTATACAGACATGGTGCCTCTAGAATTGTAGGAGGAGAAGAATTGCAGGAAATTTGCAGCTTGTTCCTATCTTTGCTGTAACTGAGTCTGTGGTGATGTACACAGCACAGCCTGCACACCCACAAGTACAACAGCAGGAGGCTTTGTCAGCCCTGGGTTCATGGTTCCAGACCAAAAAGGATGAGATAACAAAATGGACAATGGATATGAAAAAAAAAAAAAGGGTACTGTACAGGGAGCTTTCTATAAATATATACCTGCTTCGCTTCCCAAGCAGCATGCTAAAAGATGGATGGCAGAATTAAATAAAATACTGTTCCAGCAAAAAAAAAATAATAAATAAATCAGGAATTTCAGCAAAGATTCCTCTGTTTTGTACAACAGATCTAGAGGAGAATAGATCTTTGCAATTCAGAGACCTATCTGGATGCCTCCCCGCTATGCACCTAAAATGTGGGAAGCCTGCAGGAACCAGGAGGTGTGTGGCCACTTTCAGGCCAGCAGAAGACACTGTGCTGTTGTTACATGCTCTTTTTGGGACATCTGAGCTTTGCAGCAGCGGCCACAAGGCACCCCAGCCACCAGGCTAAGCCAAGAGCTCCAATTTTGCGTTTTCCTGGAATTTCCTACCAGAAAATGGCAGATGTCAAGGCCAAACAGCATTGCCATCCACGCAAAACAGCCCCTTCTTTAGTACCAACACTGCAGCTGCTACTGTTTCAGTCCACGCAAAACAGCCCCTTCTTCAGTACCAACACTGCAGCTGCTACTGTTTCAGTGGGTATGAGGGAAGGTTTTTTCACATATATAAACTTGGGGTCCTTTCACCAACTGAAAAAGCAAAAGCAATGATACGCAGGGGTATCCTACAAACCTGGACAGAGACTCTGAACCTCTGTAGCAAAAATGGCATCAGTATTATAAAATTTAGTATTTTATTGATTAATCCTGTCGGCGCAGGGGCATCCTACAAACCTGGGCTTTCACCTGGACAGAGATACTGAACCTCTGTAGCAAAAACAGCATCAGTATTATGAAATTTAGTATTTTATTGATTAATCCTGTCGTTGAGGCTGGCATCAGCATTAGCTCATTTCCAGATAGAAAACAAAAAACAAAATCAGAGATTGGGAGAGCCTGAAGTTTGCATTGATGTGTCAACAGATGAGTGATCACCTTCATCAGTCAGAAGTCTCTGCCTGGGAATTTATCTGTTCCCTGCCAATGTGTTTGTCAACGCTGCTTGGCTCTTCCTTAAGCTACTCACATCTCTGCTGAAAGACCAAGAGATGTTTCTGTTACACAGCAGAGCCTGGTGGTGATTTGACATCACAAGAAATTGCAAACCTGGAGAAGACTAGGGCAGTGATTATGGCCTCTGGGTGATCACTTCTTTGGAGGCATTTGTAGATCTAGCTGTTCATTCATCTGCCTGAATCATTTCATGATTTTAGTGATACATAAGCAGGCAGACTGGCTTATCTGCCCCCAACGTGCACCTTGTGACAGCTCCACCACCTTCTGCAAAGAAGAGAGCTTTTCACCTGGGAACTGAGGTTTCAGCCAGGAAGAATTAACATCTGGCCCCCACTCTCTGCCACACGTTGAGGCTGGGATCAGCATTAGCTCCTTTCCAGATAGAAAACAAAAAACAAAATCAGAGATTGGGAGAGCCTGAAGTTTGCATTGATGTGTCAACAGATGAGTGATCACCTTCATCAGTCAGAAGCCTCTGTCTGGGAATTTATCTGTTCCCTGCCAATGTGTTTGTCAACGCTGCTTGGCTCTTCCTTAAGCTACTCACATCTCTGCTGAAAGACCAAGAGATGTTTCTGTTACACAGCAGAGCCTGGTGGTGATTTGACATCACAAGAAATTGCAAACCTGGAGAAGACTAGGGCAGTGATTATGGCCTCTGGGTGATCACTTCTTTGGAGGCATTTGTAGATCTAGCTGTTCATTCATCTGCCTGAATCATTTCATGATTTTAGTGATACATAAGCAGGCAGACTGGCTTATCTGCCCCCAACGTGCACCTTGTGACAGCTCCACCACCTTCTGCAAAGAAGAGAGCTTTTCACCTGGGAACCGAGGTTTCAGCCAGGAAGAATTACATCTGGCCCCCACTCTCTGCCACACCAACAGGAAAATATGCTCCACAGCCCCCAAAGCACGTCTAGGAGATGACCTGAATCACTAGTTTCCAAAGAGTCAGCTTGGTTTTCTAGCAGTTAGGGAGACTCCAGATATATAACTCCAGAGGGAGGATCAGAAGCAATTTTAAACAAAGTTAAGAGTGTGGCAGCTCCACTGAATACGCAGAGGTGCTCACATATCTGGGGTAAGATGACTTATTTTTTTTTTCCTCGATAAAAATAAAATGAAAGCAGATTATCAATTAATACAAGGAAACGTGCCATTCTCAAAAGCAGCAATGTAGAATAACAATGTCGGAAAACGGCTAAAGGTTAGATTAAAACAAGAGATTTAATGTCTTGGAGGCTGCCTGGGCTGCCTTCTGCAGAAAAGGTAATTGTGTCAGATAATTAAGAGGATGTTTGGCAGAATTAATAAGAAAACATTTGCGAGGTTACATTGCATTTCCAAGGTAAAGCTTGCCGGGTAGGTTCAGTACAATTACTGCCACTTTCCCCCCCCAGCATCACAGTATTAAAATTATTTTACTCTCACTTTCTTTGAGAAGCAATAGCAAGGCAAAGCCCCTGCTGCTTTGGGAACAGAGGGGAGTTAGAGCAGGTTAGTAAACTGTGCAGATAATGATACTGCGCTGCCATAAAGGCAGGCTAGTCAAGTGTGAAAAGAAGGGATTTGGAGAAAAATTCTTCCTGCAACACGTGTTTGCATAAAACTGCTCTGACCTACAAGGTGTTCAGTGAGGAAAGTACTGCACTGAAGTGGCTGGGTGGTTTGAATGTCTCCTTGAGGTTTGGGAGCTGAAGGGAGAGTGGTGGATAGCACTGGCTCCTCTCCCTTTCGATAGGATGGAAGGTAAAGCCGATCCCCAGCGAAGCAGCTGCTTGCTCTGCAGATGTCTGGGTTATAAACACAGAGGGAGCAGCAGCCCCAGCACCAAGCTTCTGCAGTTTTAAGCAGGAGAACACTCTCTGGCTTAATACTCCATTCATTTACAAAGACAACTTTGCAAGCACACCCCTGAATAAGTTACCCAGAAAGGTGGTTAATGTGATTCTGCTCACGGTCGTCCTATTTCTAAAGAGACAGGGAAATTTAAGGTACATAAAAACACTGACAGCTGCACCAGGGTGAGCCAATAAAAGTACATAGGTGTATTTAGATACAAAGTGCTGCACACAAATCTGCAAAGGATAACGGTCTTCTGAAATATCCTAGGGGAAAAAACAACCCAAAAAACCCCACAAACTTTCAAGAAAAGGCTCTCTTGTATAAAAGACAGTGCACAGTTAGGCACCAGGCTGGATTCTCTGTGAGCTAAGACCTGCTGGATTTAGCGGAGGATTTCAGCAGCTGAGTTCTCCAGCTCTGCATAAGCATTGACTTTGAGCTGCCCTGCCTGCCAAAAAGGCTTATCTGCTTCCAGTGCAAAGTGCCTGGCACTTCCTGCATCCCCTACATCTCCTTAAACCATTAAATGTCCTATTAACAAAGAGGCCATCTCATTTCAGGATTCTGGGTGTTCCATTTGCCCCTCTCCCCCTCCCCAGCCTAAGGAACCCTGTGTTTTCCACCAATTCTTTTTCTTGCAAATGTCATTTCTTTGTCCCATTCCCCAATTACCCTCCTTGAAAGTCCTTGGAATAAAGACAGAAAAAGTTTTGGTCTGACTACAGTTATCTGCAAATAGAAACACAATCTGGCTGATTTGGGGATGAGGAATAACGTAGAAACAAAAAGTTCTCCCTCTGCCACAGATGTCAGGGTCTTGGCTTACACATGAAAGGAAGAAAACATCTGCTGTAAGAATCTTTCCAAAATAACTCTAATTCTCATACAACCAGCTACTGTTCGATAATATAGTCTAATCCTCATACAACCAGCTACTGTTCGATAATATACATATATATGTGTGTGTGTGTGTGTGTTCGAGGCCAGGCTGGATGGGGCTTGGAGCAACCTGGTCTGGTGGGAGGTGTCCCTGCCCAGGGCAGGGGGTTGGAACTGGATGATCTTTAAGGTTCCTTCCAACTCTAACCATCCTATGATTCTGAGGGATATATAGAGATAGATAGATAGATAGATAGATAGATAGATAGATAAAGGATATATAGAGATAGATAGATATATGTATAAAATAAAGAAACCTAAATCACTGGAAAAGAATTGACAGTTTGGATCACTAACAAGGGAGCAGATACATTTCTGTTAGAGACGCATCACAGTTAAGTATTTTTTTCCATCAGAAATCAAATGAGAGCAGATACTTTCTGTTAGAGACACATCACATTTAAGTATTTTTTTCCATCAGAAATCAAATGATTCCTGTTAAAACTCCAGGGGAACAGAGCTATTGGAAAAGCTGAATCTGCAGCGTCTCGCTCAAAGATCAAATAAACAGACACAGCCTTGGCAACATCAATGGTCTTATTTAAGCCAGTGACAAAGAGCTGGAAAAGTGAGCTTTCCAAATACTAATGACAAGTTGACACCATCTGTTGATAACAAGCTATTAAATATTGAGCCTATTTTTCTACAAAACATGAGGGAATCTGAAAAAAACCCACTCCTTCTGGCAGCCCAAGGCCTCAAGAAGCTGCAGGTACTGTGGCTCCTCTGGCAGGAACACAACTCTGAGCATGGCCTTTTAGCTTGCTTACACTTTCCTCTGGTTTTTAACCTTTTTGGCATTATTTGTAGTTAATAGAGACCTATTAGTCTTCACGCCCTGCTGCTTCAGTACGCCCAAATTCTCCTCCAGCACCACTGAAAGAGGGAGAAAATCGAGGGGAAAAGTCACTGGAGTGGCTTCAAATGAAGTGAGGATTCCTGCATGTCACGGGAGTCCAGTTAAGGCACCAAAAAAGGCCAAAAAAAGGACCAGACCCTGGCCAGAAGAGGGAGAAAATCAAGGGGGGAAAAGTCACTGGAGTGGCTTCAAATGAAGTGAGGATTCCTGCATGTCACGGGAGTCCAGTTAAGGCACCAAAAAAGGCCAAAAAAAGGACTAGACCCTGGCCAACACTTGTGTTTTATAACACACTTTGCATCTAAACAAGTTAAGAAATAAACATCAGTTCTGACGTTAGGGGAAGGTGACTCTCAAACAGTCAGACCAGCCCAATACGCAGCCAAAGCCTTTCCATCCATTCTTATTCTGGTGAATTGCTTGTTTATATCCTAGTTAATAAAAGAACAATCCATCTTTATAGAATCAGATGTGAAATCCTAATACTGAAGTAATTTAGATGCCCGTTACTTGTCTTACCTGATAAAGCACACCCTCTTGGTATGGATGTCTTATTCCAAGGCCTCTCACTAAATTAACAAGTGTAGGATCTGCAACCTTATTCCTCTCTAAATCACAAGTAATTCAAATTAATTTTTCCCATAAGTTCATAATTAAATAATAAACTGCCCAGTCACAGCAGCTAATTAATCCAAGGTCGAGCCAGGAACTGGGAACACGTCTTCAATATTTATTCCGGCTCCAGACTCAGGGTGCAATTCAGCGGATTTAGATTTTGGAAATTACAGCATCCATTTTAATAGGGACAAGTCTAAAGGCTGACCTCGACCCTGACCACTGCAGTCCCACCTCTTCCATCTCCTTGCTGCTGGCAAAATATTTATCACCTACAAAGTCAACCCGTCTCCCTGCGCCGCTTAACGAGGCGCGGGCACTTTTCTTAAGAAGAAGGAGATTGCTTACTCATTCCTCAGCATATTTGGCTGTCCCCGATCCCAACTTCCCAAATTTGCCACCGAGGCTACTGACCTCTCCATCTTGGAAGTGCTTCTTGAGCTGCTTCAGCATGATGGTGAGCTTCTTGGACTGCACCCCGCTGTAGGCCAGCAGCATGCTGCCGAACTGCCGCTCCGTGATCCGCCCCTCCACCGGGTCGTGCCGCTCAAACTGGAAGGGGACAAAAAGAAACACAAAAAAAGGAGATGAAAACACGGCAGGAAACACTACCGAGGGAGAAATCCTAAAGCATTTGAACAGTCCCTTCCCCCAAGACTGTCTCCATCAAGAAGTCAACGTTTTCTCTATGCGCTATTCCTTGGGTGACCTCTGGAAGAAGTCTTTGTATCTTGCCCTCCTGGTTTTATCTCGCAGGGGGACAGCGTTTGTAGAGCTGGGCTTGAAAAAGCAGGATGATTACTTTAGCTTGAAACCAAGCCAGTGTCCATAGGTCTACAAATGAGTGAAAAGCCTGTTCTTCACAGGTGTTGAGTGTGGGGTTTAGTTGGTGGGTGCGGTGTTTTTGGTGGGCGTTTGGTGTGGTGTTTTGTATTTGTATTTGTTTGGTGTGGTGTTTTTTGGTTGGTTTTTGGTTTTTTTGGTTTTTTTTGGTGGTTGGACTCGATCTCAGAGGTCCCTTCCAACCACTAAGATTCTGTGATTTCCAGCTTGGATGTCTGAATAAACATCCAAAGAATTTGGCTGCTTCAGTGACATTGATTGATCAAGAATCTGGGCAAGACTGTGCTAAGGTGCAAGTGTGTGTTTCAAAAGAAGCCTATGTAGGAGTGGTTCTCTGATTGCTAAAAAGGGGGATGGTGGTTAATAAACCAGGAAAGAAAAATCTTGCAAAAACTAAATCTCATTGTAGCTCTTCTCCAAGCCCTGTAGAGGTGGATTCAGCAAGGGAAGGTACATGGAGATCTCCAGACTTCACCTTCCCCAGTCCCAGGAAGTTCTTCTTGTCCTAAATCCCTCCAAGACCCTTATGAACAGGGCTGTGAGGGCCCTGCAGAACTTCCTACAAGCATTTCAGCAAAGGTATTTTCCATTAATCCCATTAATCTCCAGCACTAGTTTATGCTCTCCTGCCTTTTGCTGCAGGGGAGAAGGGAAGAGCAATTCTGCCAACTTGGGAAGGTGATGATGGGTTTGAGCACCACATCTCTGCTCAATCAATAATGCAGATTTCATCTTTTCCTTTTTTCCCCTCACCTTTTTGTAGCTCTAGAAACATCAGCGTTAAGACTTCAACCCGCTTCAATTTCACAGAGCTCACCATTCAGGATTCCTTATTTGATTTCCTTCAAACTCGTTAGAAACCATCTGACCTATGTTATCGCTGATCACAAGCCAGAAGATGACATTTAACAACAAAATTAATTTTTAAACTCCTACGGAACAACTCAGTACCACTGACTTGACATTACACTGCTCGGCGAGTTAACCATTTCTGCCTCAACTGCTCTTCTGTGCTCAACTACACAGCTAACACAAAAGCCAGCAAGGCACCTGGCTGAGATCAAGGTGGGGAGATGAAAGCCAGAGATGAAGCTGGCAGATGCAGCAGCCCTGCCTTCAATCTGTGTGGAGGCAGAGCTCCAGACACGGCTGGCTATAGGCTCTTTTAATAGACAGCTCTTAAACCACACGACGTAACAGCCAGGCTGCTCGCAAACGAGCTACTACCATTTCCATGCTAATGCCAAGTTGGGGGTAAATCACAGGATGCTATGGGGTTGGAAGGGACCTCTGGAAATCATCTAGTCCAACCCCCCTGCCAAAGCAGGTCCACCCAGAGCAGGTTGCACAGGAACATGTCCAGGTGGGGTTTGAATGTCTCCAGAGAAGGAGACTCCACCACCTCCCTGGGCAGCCTCTTCCAGGGCTCTGCCACCCTCAAAGTGAAGAAGTTCCTCCTCATGCTTAGATGGAACTTCCTACGTTCCAGTTTGTACCCATTTCCTCTTGTCCTGTCCCTGGGCACCACTGAAAAAAGCCTGGCCCCATCCTCCTGACACCCACCCTTGAAGTATTTATAGGCGTTGATCAGATCCCCCCTCAGCCTTCTCTTCTCCAGACTAAAAACACCCAAGTTCCTCAGCCTTTCCTCCTAAGACAGCTGCTCTCTTATAACTAAAAATATTTTCCAGTAATTAGCATATTGGCCAGACTTCTGCTGCTTTTCCCAGTGGGATACCAAGTGATTCCTACTGCATTTGAAAGGCATGGAACGCAAGGGCTGGAGGGGTCTGGATGGGCTACGATGGCAGGAGACAGCTCCCAACTGGACAAGTTCTGCTCATCAGCACCTCGTGCTTTCACTTGAGTGGCCCACACAGGATTTGGGAATAACACTGGCACTTTTTACTCTTGTCTGACAGAGATGTTGGGGTTTATTCACAGTATAAAACACTGGCCTCTGCCCTTCTCATGTGCTGGGGGAAGGAGAGGGAAAACTCATTTGGAGAAGAAGTACGTGTTCTTCATTAAAAAGCAGAGGTAGTCCTTTCTGCCACGTTTGAAGAATGCAAAGAAGTTTTACAGTACCCAAGAGACACAGAAATTCACCGTCAGTACCGTTTCAAAAGCGGCACTGACACTTTCTTCTACTATAATATTCCTTATTTCAGCCCAAAAGACATAAACCAGTATTTTTCTACCAATCAACTTCAAATACCCCAAGTTGCAGCACAGCGCACGATAGCATCTTTTATTAAAGGATAGGAAACGGGCCCAAATATCTCAAATCAACCTCATAAGTGGTGAATATGTTTAGAAAAGTCTTGAGTCAGCATCTGAAAACCCACCAGTCCTCTCCCCTTGCCCTGCAATAAGGAGGAGGCACGGTGCAGCTCCACAGGGTACCCAAGCAGCACAGCTGCTTGGGTCTTGGAGATGGGGAAATAAAAAAGGGCCAACTCTTGGCATTTTAATTATTTTTAGAACTAGGCATTCAGATAGTGGTCAGTTCTGCACTACCGGATGCAAAAGCGACCAGAAAACGAAACCTAAAAAGACTTTTCATCTTCATTTTTCTCCTGACGTGTCTCACACGAAGCCTTTTGGTGCCAACTTTAAGAAAGCAGGATTATTCTCCAAACGCCACGCTGAAGAACTCTTAACAGGAACACGATGAGGAAACACATGGTTTCAGCCACGACCCCGAGATGTTCAAAGCAACTGGCCCACGGCTGCTGCACAGGGTTTCCATGAGCCCTTCAGCTCCTCTCACTCGGGATTCCCCAAATGAAAGATGATAAAACACACCTATAGTTTAAGAATTACCTGGGGAAAGGAGGTACATGAAGAATAGTGCTGTAATTTCCCATCAATATTCACAACTGGGTATGCTTTAATCAGGATTACTGGTAAAATTTGATGCAAGCTACCTTCTGCATCTCCAATGTCACCACTGAAAACTGATAAGGTAGGTTATCTTATTTAGTTGCACCCGTTACTAAATGATTATAGCTAGAGAATAAGCAATGTGGAAAAATGCTTATTCCTCCTGTGATTCACATTCTTACCTTCTGGTCCTTGGGGTTTTAGGAATATCCTTGGTGAGAAGCTCCAGCAGGACCGATATGCCTAAATAGCCACACGACCAATTTTTCCCCCCAAGAGGTTGCCTGATGCCTCTTGGCACCCACTAATCCTTTAAAGTTACGAAAATGAAGCGAACTGGCCCCAAAGTCAATATTCACAACTGGGTATGCTTTAATCAGGATTACTGGTAAAATTTGATGCAAGCTACCTTCTGCATCTCCAATGTCACCACTGAAAACTGATAAGGTAGGTTATCTTATTTAGTTGCACCCGTTACTAAATGATTATAGCTAGAGAATAAGCAATGTGGAAAAATGCTTATTCCTCCTGTGATTCACATTCTTACCTTCTGGTCCTTGGGGTTTTAGGAATATCCTTGGTGAGAAGCTCCAGCAGGACCGATATGCCTAAATAGCCACACGACCAATTTTTCCCCCCAAGAGGTTGCCTGATGCCTCTTGGCACCCACTAATCCTTTAAAGTTACGAAAATGAAGCGAACTGGCCCCAAACTTTCCTGGCAGGCACTATTGGCACGCTTTCCACCACCACTCACACAAGGAAAGGATGGACAGAGGGGTAGCAAAACATGCAAACTCTGGGTTTGGGCAGTCTGGTCCAGACCAAGGACCTGGGGATTCTTCTGTACTACACAGAAAATAAACAACAAAATCAACAAGTGCTATCGCAGCGGCTGTAAAAGACACAAGCCAGGGCAGGCAGGGCAAAGCCTTCTGGAGGCAAAGCTTTCTACAAAAATAACTCCAATATCCAAGTGCAAGGATCTCACCAGCTCTGAGCAGCAGCATGGAAATGTGGAGCACAATTAACATGCTGATGCTTGCAGTATTTTTGGCGTCTTGCAAAATTTATTGCAAATGAAGTAGAAGGCCCATCCTGCTGCCACAGCCCAAGTCTGCATCACAGCAGTAGCAAGAATCCCACTACATGAGACAAAAAGAGCTTTAGCCTTTTATCTCACAGCTGGGAGATTGTATTAAAGGACAAAATAAAGACAAAACTAATCTAAGATGAAGGAACTGAAATAACATATTTCTAAAAATCCCTTTAATGTACAAAATTGTCCTGAGACCCTGTGAATAAACCAACTCCCTGTGGGCTCCAAAACTGCTTCCAACTTTTTAATTTCTGCCGGTGGTCGATCAGGTGCAGCGATGCATCAAAACACCCCACAAATATTATTGCAAGAAATAAAAAAGCCTGAAAACCATTGACTTAATGCTTCTTTTATCTCACTTTAAACCAAAACACAGATGCCCAAAATCAATTCCTGGCAACCAAACATTATGCCCTCCCCAACGCAGGCACACAGCGGTGGCCATCGCAAAGGCCAGCCTAGAAAGGGGCTGGCAAGTGAGAGGTGGCCAACCACCAGTTTCCAAATTCAAATGCCATCACCACTGAACTGAGATAAAGCAACAAAACTCATGGTGATGGGTAAAGAGAGTTCAAAACTTGCCTCCAAGCTACTGTGTCAGATACATTTAAAGTAGCCACAGAAGGGATGAGCGGGGGATGCCGCTTAAAGATGATGCAGAGAATGAAAAATTTTGATGAGAGAATTCTATTTTTTTCTGATATGTTAGAAACTGCGTTTATTAA